CGCCGACCCGCAGGCCTCCGCGGGACGGTGTGCTCACAGCCAGCCCGGGACAGAGCGGGTAAAGACAGGGGTTTGTATTTGTAGTGACGGTGCTTAATATTGTGTGGGAATTGGCCATCAGCAGTAAGCGTGCTCCTCATGAAGGAATTCTGTAAGGCTTAGCTTGAAAGTTCAAAAGTGGCCTCCTTTGTCACTCCCACCACACTAATCTCTGACTTTTTAACTGATATATATATGTCCATATATTCATTTGCAGGAACGTTTTATGTGTTCTAACATAATTTGTAGACAGCTGTATCTGTTTGTCTTGCTCCTTCTGCGTACTTCACACCGTCGGGAATTAACTGCCGTGCTTCGCTCTTCTGCTGACGTGGAGTTAGGTGGGACTCCGAGTCCTGTACCTGGTTCCGTGTGTGAATGGTACCAATGGACAAGACACCTAAAAGACAGCTGCAAAAAGCTTTGCCAAATGCGGCACAAGATGTGGAAGGATTCATAACATTTTGGATGTGTTTGAATAGGGCTCCCAGTGGTGGTGTTACAGAGTTGGGGATGTTTGTTTTTTGTAAGCGCTGCATATGTTTATTTGAACTCTTAAAGAGAGCACTCAGTCGGTGGTAGTCGGTGCTCTCTTTTTTTTTTTTGTCTTTTTTTTCCTCTTTTTTTTTTTTCTTTTTCCTATTTATAGTTTTTCTGTCAAGGTTAAGAAATCTCTTTGGGAAGCTCTTGTGAATGGATTGTCATACCCTACAGTGTTTCTGTTGTGGCCTAAGCTTTGTCCACTGTAAAGAAGAAACCTGCAATGAGTGCATTGAATGTCTGGCTGGACTAATAAGCCGGGGGCGGGGCGGGGGGGGAAACTAAGAGCATTTTGTTAGTTTAGGTAGCCCTTTATTGTTCTACCTGGGTGGGAGAGTGTGTGTCATCAAGGCCTGGATTTCCCTCTTTACTGAGGTGAAATCTCAATAGTGAACTGAGAATGAAAGGTTTATCCGGACAGCAGCAGAACAAAGAGGGAACTGAGGAACTTGACTGGGCTTAGAAACAGGATTCTGTTTTTCAGCCACTCTTTCAAAGTATCAGGTCTGCCTTCACACAGTGCCTGGGACCAGGAGGAGTCGGAGAGGAGACGCAGTAACATGCTACAAAACAGAAAAATTTCTAGGGAGGCCCTGGACTCCGACCTCTTGCCTAACACGTAATTGCACAACTCTGGAGTTGTGTAATTAGCCCTCCGGAGTTGCTGAATGTTACCGTAAGTCGGCAGATGAAAAACTCTCTAAGACTCAATTTGGAGTTTTAGAAAGCAGGCATTCTTTATTGCGGCGCCGGGCGCACAGGGGATCGCTCCACCTAGTGTGCGCGCCGGACTGCTCAACTATGGGAGTTATGTACAATCAGAATATACATATTCATTAGACTTCCAAGAAATGATTAGCATATTCATGTTATTTCTTGGAACTCATTAACATATGCAAAAGTCTGTAACGCATGCGCTCTTATGTTCATTGGTGGTCTTCCAGGGTCCTCTGGTGGTCGTCGATAGTCTTCCTCACTGTGTCCACTAATTGAAAGTCTTTTCACCTAGTTGCAGTAGCTGATTTCAGCATAACTTCCTTATCCATTCCACCCCTGTACACAGAGCTTCAAGGATTCCTTTTATCTATGGAATGTCCAGTCTGCAGAACATTTAGTTACTTCGCTTCGACAAAGAAAACCATATGTCTCCTTAGTATTTCGGTATCAGAAGGGTCTGCCACGGCCTTACGTTTTCTGCCTGGGACACAAAATGGTTCCTTCAAGGCGGGAATCCCTGCAGAATTGACACGTGACCTGGGTAAGCAATTTGCGCTATTATTCCTAGGTCCAGACGAACAACACGAAGGGGGATGTGGCGCCTCCCGTTTTCCTGTCGCGTCCACCGCTTGGCGCTTTAGTACGCCTGTCTGAGGGACAGCACCTGTTTCCAGCCTAAGGAACCCAGGTTGGGCTGAAACCCGAGGTGGAGGCAGTTTCTCCCGGCGGCGCCACGAGCGCCTCCAGCGGTGGGACGAGTGGCGGCAGGGGCGGCAGCCCTTCCATGTCCCCTGACCCGGGGCAGGAGGCGGGTGAGGGGGTGGTGGGGCGAGTCCCAGCGGCTCCTGATCTCTCTGCTTGTTTCTAAAGACTCCAATTTTAATGCCATGGTACTTAAAATGTGCTGTAAGAAATTACTATGACGGCATACTGTGGATGTAAGTTACACAGCCTAGAAAAGGAGAGCAAATGTGTGGTCAAATCGTGTAGAAAGTAGCTCCTTCTTGAGGTCAAAATGATTTTGAAACTCTCCAAGTTTTCTGTCTCCATTCTGCCAGTGCACCCACACGTGCTTCCCTCCACCGTAGGACTCGCATGCGCCTGCCTTAAGATAGCTCTTGCAGTAGTGTGCTAAGCATGCCTTCCTTTTGAAGGCTGAGATAGCATAACATACCGTATTTTTAAATATGACTTGCAGTTGGTAATGGAGGATTCTATAACTAGTGCAAGTGACAGTATTTGCTGTCCAACAGTTTTTATATATTTTTCCAAAGTTGAGCTCATAAGAGCTGCCACACTGGTGGAGACTGAAGATCCACTATCTCAGTTTCTTGACTCTGACAGTTTGGTATTAATAGATTTCCAGCTGTTGCAGCTGGAAAAGCACTCAGCTTTTTGAAAATGCAAATTCTAAATAGCAGTGAGGAGAAAATATGTATTATTAATTTTATTGCTCTTACGTGTTACATTTAAAGTTATGGTTATGTAGTATGAGATTTATGTAAACAGAATAACAACTTCATGGGTTCATGAAAGAGCTGTTCAAATACTGTAAAACTGCATTATCGTTAATGAGATACTAAAAAAGTGCTGTATTTTTATGTATTGTCCTTCTCTATTAACGTGTACTTTATTTCAGACAAAAGCTTTAAAATGGAGTTTATCAGGGCTGAATTTTAATCTTATATAGTAAATGTATTTGTGGAATTCCATGGTGAACTGTTCTTTGAAATACACTAAATATTATATGAGTTGTATAAACTGTATGTCATTCAGCTTTTTAAATGAAAATTCATTTGATGTAAGTTTAACAACTTGTAAATGGTGCTTCATAAATCGCAGAATTATCGCGTACTTTATATTTGGATTACATCCAAGGAAGACAAATTCTAGATAAGCGATAATGAGATTTCAATGAAAACTGGTTGTTTCAGAGCCTTGTGGTGATTGGCGTATGGGGGAATTCCTGTTTGTTTCTCTGGGGTTTTTTGCTTTTTTCTTTTTTTTTTTTTACGCTTGTGGCAGGTAGCAGTAAAGTATGTAATTGTTTTTATTGTAATTCTTCTTTTTTGTGACCCATTCAGGTGACGCTTCTTGATGTGCCTATGTTTTGTTACCCTTGCCAGTCCATCAATACTCTTCTCCTGCTGCTGCTGACTCAGAGATGCAAAAGCAGATTTGATCGATCTTCATCAGGTATTAAATACTAAGGCTCAGCAATTTCTACACAGTTTGGATGTAGGGAAGAAGAGGCTACCTACTTACATGGCTGTAGTGCTAGAACTAGAATGGTGTTGCTGGAAAGTTAATTAGGGTATGTTTTAATATAATGATGAAGAACAGAGGCAGGGTTAGCTCTGAAATGTGGGAGGAGACTGACATAAACTGGGAAACTTGTGGATTGACAAGACACTGTCATTAATTTCTGAGAAAAGTAGGATCCATGTCAATGGCGTAATTAGCCACGCAGTAGAGGCATGGCAAAATGTCAAGGTGCTCAGTGCCAGCAGGTTTTTCAGACCTTGCATTACCCTTTTTGTCTCAGCCTGGGAGAATCTGCAGCTGCCATAGTTCAAGTTCAGTGATGGTTATTTGCGTAACTTTGAATGGGTGAAGCTTGCTTGTCACCTAGAAATAGCTGATAGCTCTCTAGGAACCTGAACACTGCAGACAGCAGAGATGATAGCAGAGTGAAGGCGGTAATTGTGCAAGTGGAAAGTGTCAGCATGGAGGAGCAGTGGCAGTGGCTCAGGCAATTCTGCTTCCAGTAGGCTGAGGGTACCTGTGGGGCTTACATGCAACTGGAGTTACAAGCTGAAGGCAGAGAGACATACAAAGGAGCAGATCAAGGGCATGCGTATCCTGTAATAGTTCCTGCATATCTTGCCAGAAGAGCTGGGTCTGGGAACATGGTCCAGGTAGCTGCACCCAGGCAACTGTTCCAGCATAATGTTTCCATCTAGGACCACTCGGAGGCTGGATGTGAGGTTTTATACCTAAGGCAGGAGGGAAACTATAGAAATGTCATGCCTTTGACTCCTTCTTGCCGTGATAATTTGTCTATAGTAGGCCTTTAAAGTTCTGCCATTTTAGTTTTTCCCAGAGTGCAGCCACCTGCATTTTTTCATGGGGACAGCTCAGAGCTTTAGGGACTGATAATCCAATGAGGGATTTTGTGACGGAGTCATGATGATGAGCTTTGAAAGTAACAGGAACCCATGAGATCCCCATGACTTTACACAAAGTGAAGTAGGTCAGCCTTAGTACCTACAAAAGGGTTTCTTTCCTTTTACCTGCCAGGTGGGAACTGGAGACCTCAGCATGCTATGAATTATGCTGAAATGTGGAAGAAGCCTCGGAGAATAAAAGAGAGAGACTGTAAGGCTCAGGCATACAAGTTGTCACAAAGTAGCAAGCTAGGTAACTCAAATCTATAAGTGCACTTTGATGAAAATTTAAATATAATATGATTAATTCTACTTCATCAACTGAAGAACCAAAAGTCTGAAGGAAAAAATAGAAGTGAAACTTTTTCTGAAATTCCTGTGGAAAACAAAGGATTATTTGTACTAGTTTGAGTGCTATGCTGAGACTGTCCTGACCAAATTCTGGTTTCTGTTAAGAAGTACTTTGCACAAA